CATTGTGTTTTAGAAATATAACTGCATCTTTGATCAAAATACCCTGAGGCATAATACTCTTTGATATTGCTTATGTTAAAAATGAATCATTGTAAACCTAACATTAGAAAAAAATATAATTCTGCTGATTCTGGAGCCTAACATCAAGTGATTTTACTTTACAGCTTAAGTTTCCTTTACAGTAACTGCAAAGGTAACTGGGAGGGGAAAGCCAACACACAGTGCTGTATTACAACATCAGTGCTCCACACTACTGCTTATAGCTGTTAACCTATAATTAGAGCAGTTTGCTCCCAGAGAGTAAAAAGCCTCATTACTTCCAAATCAAGCATCTGCTCTAGACAGTCTAAAGACAATGAGTTTTCAACCACAGCTATAGCATATTTCTCTCCTAAATAACGCTGCATTGTCTAAAGAGAGCTACTAAGTTTACTACACCTCATTAGATAAGCTGTAGGATGCTGAGGTAAAGGAATATCAGAGTTTTGGTAAAACTTCTCTTCCCCATTTGGAACACTCAAGTTACAAGTGTTTTAACTAGAACCCTTGTATCAATTCTGTATCAAATGTATCAAATCTGACATAGCTGACAGAGTGCATCACCTTAAGTATCCTACAAAGAACACAGCACAGGCCTTTATCACACAGAAATCCGCCCAGATACCACAGACACAATATACTATCATTGAACAATTTTTGCAGATTTTTGCCTAAAGAAGCATATTTTGCTGTCAGAGGATTATAAGTGAACTAAGAAATTTTCATCACACAGACTTAAAAAAGATCTTAGAAAAAAAAATTAAACAGGAACTACAGGTGGCACAGAGTGTTTGGAAAGAAAACTGCAAATAATTAAGAAATAATTTTAAGGTGGAATATATTACAACTGCAACTGTTTGATATGATGGCTAACTTCCAATGGCAAAACAAACAGCTGATAGAAAATGCTTTTGCAAACCATGTTCAGCTAATTATTAGTAAAGAATTTTAAGTCTGTCTAAAAAGAAGCAGCTAAATTTCACAAATGTTAGTAGCTTCTCATATATTTTGATCATTTTACTTTAATTAAACTTTACAAGACAATAATGCACTTATCAAACTTCAGTTTGTCTATAGCCCTGATTTTACTTTTTCGTTACTATGATTAAACAAAAATAGATACAATAGATCAAACAGAAATGCCAACGAGAAAGTGAAGGAGGGAAAGGAACAAAACAGCCATTAGGGGGAAAAAAAAATGGGGGCAATGAGCAATAGGCTTATAGGCTGGTTCTATTGCAGACCATAACACCATCTCTAGCAACACATAAAATTTGCTGTGAAGCCATATGGGCAACAGACATCTATCCCCACAACTCACCATATAGCATTCCTGTTTAAAGCATAGAACATTTAAAGAACTATCATCCATTTGATCCTCCACAGGGGGAAAAAAACTGCCAGTCTCATCGGGTATGAAGAGAGAACACTACTTATTACTAGCAATTTGAGCCAGGAAAAAATAAAGGCAGTATTTTTCATATTGGAATATTTCATCAGAACTCTCAAGTAAGTATACCACTTTACTAGGGGAAAAAAAAAGGCAACAAAATTATTTTTAGATTAGAAATCAAACGAGGTGGCTCTACTAATCACTTCTAGGCTAATGGCAAAGGAAATAAACAGTAATCTCCCTCTCCACAAAGTCTAGGTTTCAGTTCTGCAAATTCCATGAAAGACTTCCTCCTTAAAGGAAGTGATTTCAAGACAACAAGCATTCTGTATCTGGCAAATTTAAAAGAAAGTAAATCTTCAAAATAATTTTCATTCACACCATGTTTGTTGTTGGTCTAGAACTGGGCCCAACATAGTACACAAGACTAAACCAGCACAGAAACACATAAAAGAAGTCCAAGAACAAGTGTAAGTAAACTGGATATATGTATAAGGATATAGGACACAGTAATTAAGTTTTGAATACACTTCTGATGATTCTATAAACAATTCCAAGTTAGGCGTAAACATCAGGATAGAACTGAACTGAGCCCATCTCGTACTTAGGTATAACCAAACTTGAGTGATCTACGTTACAATCTAAGTATCAGATCTTAAACATCAAAAGTAGAATCATAACAAACCTATTTTAGTGTCATAACTGCAATAATTTTCTTAGTATTTATAACTCAGAGCACTAGAAATCCATGTAGCAGCATATACACAATCTGAAAATAGACCTAGAATTTTATCAGGCTACTTTTCAGTGTTACAGATCTAGAGTTGAGAGGATTCTTATTGTGCTTTGTATAGCATCTTTTAATTTCAGTCAATGAATTAAAGTGCATACAGATGCTAGATAAGACAGAGCAAAAAAATCTTAACGGGAATACTGACAGTTCTAAGAAATTCAGAATTCTGCTAAAAATTAAAAGTATTTTTTGTAGAAGCTTCAGTTTTAGCATTCTACTTTAATGCAATTATGTTTCATTATCTCATGTAATGCATAGATAAGTTATATATGGTGGAATCATTCTATTGATGTTTAAGGAACTAGTGTTGTCAAAACAATTCTTAACTATAAAATTAATAGTATATATTTAAAAAAGGATTAAATGCAGTAACTTTCAGAAGCAGCAGTAGTTCAATTAATGATTTATAATCACCTATCTTGAACAAGATTTTTTTCCATGTCATTGGTGAGAGCTAAGCATGATTGACACTGTAGTGTGGAATATTCTCTGGACTTATTTCTGTTTCAGAAGGTATCTAACATTACCTGTTGTTCAGTAAGATCCACCCATGCAACTATTTTGCACATGTCGAACATCAACTCTTTGACTGCTGTGACAATGCTCAAAGTAGCAATGCATCAGTAATTATTCAAAACCTGTTGTTTTCAGCCAGGACATGGATTTCCCAGCATTGCACAGCTTTGGCAGTTTTACTTTTGCATACACCAGTGCTAGTTGTACCTGCTTTCAATCGTAGACCTGAATACAACTGTATTTTTTTTAACTCAAACACGCATAAACTACTTCTTTTTCAGACGATAGCACTATCTTTCAAAACCAAATCTCATTTAAGCAAGATAGCAAATCTGAGAGAAAGACATCTAGAAAATCCGCCATCTGCCCTAACAGTAAAACACCCTTGGCTTGAGTTTGATCCAAAGGAGCCACTGCTTGATCTTGAAAACACAAGCAAAGCCTTTAATTACAACGGCTGAATCCCACTGTGTAGTACTGCATTTAAGCTTCTGGAAGAAGGAAATAGCTGGACAACTCTGGATTTTCAATTTTGTGGCACTAAATAGAGATGTTACTGAATTGCACATAGAGACAGGCCTTTTTCTAACACTTGCTGCATTCCCCAGGTGCATTCAATGATAAAGCCCTGTAGCTTTAATCAATTATATCGACTAAGATGTCTCATTTTTGCCATGACATCAACAAACAACAGATTCATTCCTCTGGTTCCTGCCACAAACATCATGAAATATCATAGAGAAAACATCTCACTTAACATAAAAGCCTCTTTGACTCCAAGTAAAATGAAAACATCTCACTTAACGTAAAAGCCTCTTTGACTCCAAGTAAAATAGGAAAAATAAGAGAGAGGTAATAATTCAAAATATTTGATCTTTACTGATTTAAAGCACTAACCATCTGTACAGAGATATATTTTTGCTCCTCTGATTATTACTTTGTATAGATTTCCACAAGATGGTGCTGTAGCCTTATTTTAAAGATTAACTGCTCTAACATTTAGACAAAAACCTCATTTCATTTCACTATTAGAATAATGAACAGTGATTTGCAAGGTCTATTTTCAATTAAGGAGCAAAGCATGTTTATATCATCTAATTTTCCAATTCTTTTGAATTATTTTTTTTTTACAACTGGAAAAAGTAAGTCCTGGTGCAGAAGTCCAAAAAACCCTCAACTACAGTTTATATAGCATAATGGATCACTAAGTTCTTCTGTTTGTATGTCAAATAAAGTCAATTTATATATTTCATATGGTTATAGAAAAAAAATCATTGTTGGAACATATAAATCACATTTTGCGGCATGTCAAACAGCTGCTTTTGCCTTCATTTGCAAACTCTGCCAAAAAAAAAATCCACTGGCTTTGTAACACTAAACTCCAAAAATCTTTCTAAGTGAAGTATTAAAGCACAAAGAAATCTTGACATAATGCTAGCAATTTACAAAGACTAATAAACAAATAAATAAATCTTATCAAACCACACACATCTTTGGTTTGGTTATATGTTTATGGAAGTCTTACATCTACTTGCGTCTCTAAACAGGAATCTTAATATGACTTCAAATAACGAAAACACATTTCTTTGCACACTGGCTGGTCTCCATCTGTGCTGCTGGTCTTCAAACGTGCTGGGTAAGAGCACTAAAACACTCAACACATCTCCTGCAGTCAAAGTCTGTGGACTTACTTGCACATTTTAGTGTTCAGGATCAAACTGACCCTCACTTTGTCAGTGCTAATGGAAGTCATAATGTGTCGGTGCTCTTCAGCTCAGCATGAAAACTTATATTAAAAAAAACCAAAAAAGCAAATAGGATAAAAGGTGCATATTTGAAACTGTGTATATGTTTTTATTTAGACTTATTCAACAGTACAGACAGTAAGATGGTATGTAAGAACACTTCTGGGGTGTAATATGCAAGTCCCAGCTGGAATGTTTCCAACAAGATGTAAACCACGGTGCTCAAGCCTGTACTTTTAAAAATATATGACTTAGCACACTGCTAACAAATGTCAACACAAAAATACACTGCTGTAATGACTTCAACTTACAAAGTAGAGAGAGGGGGGAGCAGCTTTTAAAACCAAAAACTGGAGTTTCAGGGAAAGGAAATCAATACACAGATGCATCAGAAAAATACTTATTCAAAGCAATAAAAGCACCGGCGATCATTACAAATTTGATATATTAAAAATTTAATGCTGTAAAAACATACATATTACTTTGGGTATCCCTAAGTCGGCAGAGACCAGGTCTACAGACCTGTGCTTTCAGGTATTCTTAGAGGTGGGCTGGATGTTTTCAACAATTTGAAAGTTTCTTCAATTCTGAAAATAAATTGTTTACACACACTTATTAAAATAAGGAAAGAAATATCTGACTTGCCTTTAACTTTCTAATTATCCAAAATTAAGTTTTCTCTCATTCCTCTCCCCCACAATTGGTTTGTATTATAAATGCCTATTACACATCAATAAACCTTAAGTATAACATAGAGAGACAAGTAATCCACACAAAATTAAAATCACAGAAAAGGCTAAGCATTTTACAGGTCAGGCACTTATGGAATAGAAATCTCTTGCTAAAGAAACATTACATAGCAAGGCATTTCTCTTCAAGTAAAATAAGATCTTTCTTACCAAAAAAAATTAATTACAGATCTCAAGATTAGTATCAAATACATCTTAATACATGCTTAGGTTGAAATTGGTTTTACTTATCCTTAAATAATAAAACACAGAGTTAAGATTATGTAGTTATTTTTCAGGAAGAAAAGTTGAAAGTACCAAGGAATTCCTATCAGAAGATAAATAATATTCCTATTCCTTGTCAACCAGATTCTAAACACTCTTTTATCTCTAGTTAATACTATTAAGAATGCTTTCTATTGCTTTTTAGAAACCAAAACACTGACTCATCCCACAAATACAGAACTGCAAGTGGATTTATTATCCAGTGGAGTCATAAGGAAATGCCACACCTGATGTAGAGACCTTTGAGTTTTGGAACACATATGCACATTCTCTATATACCTTAGTCCAGTACAACTCCCTCCTGGGAAATAAATTCCTGACACCTTTACCTTGCATTTTATTTATCTTTTCCATTCTTTGTCTTATTGTCTCCTACAATTTAAAAGCAACAAAGTTAGTGAACTCTTCAAAGCTGACATACTTCAAACGGACTTTCAACTTTAAAATTCAGAGAAAATGTGACTTTAAGCACTGTTTACATATCAGAAGTATTTTTATGAGACAGACGTAAATGTAGTTTTGCACAGTTCCCTTGTTTTTCTTATCTTTTCCATTCTTTGTCTTATTGTCTCCTACAATTTAAAAGCAACAAAGTTAGTGAACTCTTCAAAGCTGACATACTTCAAACGGACTTTCAACTTTAAAATTCAGAGAAAATGTGACTTTAAGCACTGTTTACATATCAGAAGTATTTTTATGAGACAGACGTAAATGTAGTTTTGCACAGTTCCCTTGTTTTTCACTACTAGTATATACAACTAAAACCAATGCTTACTTGTTCTCTTGACCTCAGAAAGGAAATCAACTGAGCATTCACCAGTTTTACTCACCTTTGAAATGTCTGTCAGATCATGAGAATTAATGGTCAAGGCTTTGGGAGATGGCTCTGTGGATAAAAGTGAACAGCATCCAGACAACTGAAGATGATTCTCTGGCATCTCCTCATTCCTCTCTGTATCTATGGAGAAACACTCAGGTTTGTGTCACCTCTGCCTTTTTGCTTTCTTTTGCAAGGTCAGCTATCAAATAACTTGATTTACAGTATGCAATAACAGAAGAGAACACATTGTTTAAAGAGGGAAAAGGAAAAGCTACTGTGACAGTCCAAAAGTTTTCTTTTTTTAAAAACAAGGCAAGAGCAGTATATTATATAAAACACACAAAGCAAATTCTTAAAAGATTGAAGATTATTTTATCTTGATTAGAGTAAAATCAAAACTTATCAACATCTGATTACTCGGCCAACATTTAATAGTAATTTCACATAGTTTACATTATTTTTACTGTAAACTGACTGTTCAAACATGTTTTTATTTTGTGCTAAGTAGTCTGTCTTATAAGCAGCAGAAATATTTTAAAACAAAAAAAAATCACCTTCTTGCTTAGCCTTAAATCTGTATTAAGCCATCACTGTTTTCTAACTTTCCTCCCCTTGGGATAGGTGCAGCAACCATTACACAGAAACAGACTTTTTACCTTTTTTTTTTTTTGACATTGGGAAGGCTTTGATATTCTTTTTGCAACTTTAGATTACTCTTGTCAGGGAAGAGAATTTAGTATCTAGAAAAAAAAATTTTCCCATGCCCTTATTTTTAGTAAGGTCACCATGTATGGAACATACCTTTGGAACATGCTTTGCTACACTATTTTGTATCCAAAAATCTCACTATTTAGTCAACTAAGCTTAAAAATTGTTTCTCCTGTACAGTTGTTTCTGAAGAGCACTACAACCAAAAAGAGCACAAAAGCATTCCAACTACTGTACATCTCAGATAGAAGAGACAAGACTGTCCCCATAACTTGTATTCCTAAAATTTCCTGAATCATATTTAAGAACAGGAATAACAAATTCATAAGAATTCTAGAAGACTGAAAATATGGAAATTCTCTTTTAAAGACCATTCACTTGCTTACTGACTACAAAGTCTTCCAATGTCAGCTACAGACCACTAAACTTACAAAAGGAAGTTAACATGTTGCAAGCTTTCTAAGGCCTGCAAAATGAAGTTCCTATTTCTGAGACCTCAAAATCAAAACAAATTTTGACACAGCCAATAAACTGCCTTCTTAATTTCCATGGAAACTGAATTACTGAGATTCCCTTATAATTACAATTCAACACCTCAACACTGAAAAAATGCCTAATATGTGAGAATGGAAAACAGGATATCCTCCTTACCACTGATTGTAGGAATAGCAGCAGCCACAGAGGAAACAGTCCAAATCAATTAAGAGTCTGATGCATGCTAAAGGATAAAGACCTACCATTGAGGAAGACAGCACTTAAGGCTGCTCCATTTACTTCTTCTATGTTATCAAAATTAAATTGGAAATGGAAGAAAAAAATTTTGTCTTCCTCTTCAAAATAAGAAAGCTTAGCAAAAATGCCAGTTGGATAGGGCAATTAACTGCTTCAAATGGATGAAATATAGAAAATGTTCAGCAGTGAAAACATTTCAGCAGATGAAAACCAACATGGATTATGAATGAAAAGCCTCTGATTTGTCTTGTACCCTTTATAAAAGTAGAAAACAGCATCATAAATGCAACACTATTTTGATTATAACAAACTTGTAGCAGTAAAAATAATTCCTTTTGTGCTTATGAATACCATATTTTTAAAACATGATAACTGCTTTAAAGTCCAGATAAGATTGTTTTACACAGCTCTAGCTATAGCACCTTAATTAGATGGGCATCTTTGATATTTTTAGTAGTTATTTGTAACTATTAATTACTATGCTATATATTTTCATTAATGCTTTTAAATCTACTATTTCAGTAAATAAATCTTCCAAAAAATAAATTACCAATGTGAAATGACTAGGTTAACTTCTAATTTGCAGTATGGATTTAAATTCATAGGTCACTAAATTGCAATTACCTACTTAAAAAGCAGTGTTTTAGTCAAGGTCAGCAAGGAGTGTCTAGCATATTTATGTTAATTAAAAAGAAAATTATTAATACTCACCAGGAGAAACTGGAAAGTTACTAGAAGTACATTCTTGACTTATATTGCTCAACTCTGTAGGTAAGTCTTTCTGAAATACAGGTTTACTGCATTTTAGCCATACACCCTGTTTAAATCATCTTTTGACTGAAGAACAGTATATTTAAACACTAATTATGTATGCCTCTGCTACACCGTCCAAATGTGTTGGCATTGCATAAATGTGTTTCCAGGACTGAAAATACAACATTTCCATATATACACTGCATAAAAAAAGTTGTCTATTTCATGGGGTCTTTTTAATATCAATGTTGCTGTTCATAAATGGGACAAAACCAGGTCAAAATACAGTGCATATAACTTACGTATGAGAGTAGAGCAAACGACCACACGGTTCTTAGCCTACGCTAACAATTTCATCTTGATGCTGGCTGCCATTAGCTTGACAAAATAACTGTACCTTCCACTTCTGGTTGATATTCAGAAATGCAGCCCTCAGACCTAAAAAAATAGCCTATAGATTTATTCCACTTAAATGCTCAGAACTCAGAAGTCTATTTCAAATCAGTTTTCCAGGCTCCTAAATGAGAGAGAGCATTTTTACGGAAGCTTCTCAGTTTAACTCGATCTAACTTAAAAAAGGCTGTTGATAAGCAAGGAAACAAAACTGAAGTTGTACTAACAATAAATGTTTTGGAGTACACTTTTCTAATTTAACACCTAAAAAATGCAACAATCAAACAACATATAAACATTTTTACCAATGAGTTCTCATTACAATTTGAAATCTCAGCCTTTAAAATACATCCACTTTATATCCTGGAGTAACCATATCAGTTAACAGGGGGATGTTACACCCGAATAAGTGAACGAGGGAGAAGTAGCAGATATTGTGTGGGAAGATGCTGGAAAAACACTAATAATGGATATCTCTTTAAAAAGTATAAAAATAGATAACTGCACAGACTACTTCTGTTCATTCCTTTCATTGAAATGGATTTAGTAGTTTTCAGACTTTCCCAGAGCTAAATGCACAGCTGCTGCTACTTTGGCAACAGTGTGAGACAGATCTTGGAGTGTTCCTGCTTTGTTGGCTAGATCCCAAAAATTCCCTGAAAAGTGCAAGAATAAGAAGAAAGGAGTAATTCTGAATTGTTTCTGTCTATGTGAAGCACAACTTGGATGGAATTTCATGAAACAAAGAAGCAGCAATTCTGCTGCCCACAGGATTATTTCTTGGTAGTTTTCAAATGTCTATTGCAAAACAGTTAGGGTTTTGAAGACTATATATGTATGGATACACATATATATGCATGGGTATACACATATATATACATGGGTATATGTACATACACAGGCACTTATTTTGTTTCAAAAAAAGACTAGCAACAACGCTGCAAAGAAACTACATTGAAACTTGTTCCTGTAGGTGACTTCTTTCACTACCATGTAGTACAGAAATATAATTACCTCACTGGAAATTTTTTGAGTGCTATTTTTTTGGAGTATTTTCCAAATACTATTCAACCATATGAACAACTGCAATAAATATGCTACTGATGTAATAATAAACCAAATTTACAAATAAAAAAGAACAAGTCTAGTGTGAAACTCAAGATTTCCTATGCTGCTACAACAATCTCTTGGAAAGAATACATTTGAAACAGGAGCAAAACTGTCTATTGCTGTTCACCTGAAGGCCTCTTGAGACTCCTAGCAGATGCAAACATTATTATTGGTGGTGTTATTTGGACATATGTCTACTGATAATTAAATTACAATATCCATAAGAAACTGGTTTCAGATGATAAATCACTTGAGCCATTACTGACCTGAAACAGTTTAAAACAAAAGTGACTGAGAATGTCAATCCTTAGTATTTGAGCTACAGCCTTAAGAACAGCCTAATGTCTGAACACTTCTCCATTTCAAGACTTTGTATGACTAGCACACTTTTAAGGCACACAGAAAAAAAGTATGTCTTGTATACAAGTATTAGCACAATTTTCAAATTTGCAGGGCCAGCAACACGCACAATGCTCCGATTATGAGTAAATCCAACATTTTTACAAAGACAGAGAAAAATGCAACACAGATCAAGCTTTTTCTGCAAGCGTTTTTGACTTCTGAAAAGCATCTGACAGTATCTGAAAGATATACATGAGACACATACACAAATACACTTTGAAATTAAGCATGTGATGAAAAAATTGATGCTATGGTTCACTGCAGCTCAAAATACTTACATGTGTACAGATATGAAATTATATAACACGTATACGAGGACCTTTCAACGGCATGAAAAATAACCCAGAGTCTTAATGCAACAAAATACTTTATTCGCTGTGACAAATATGTCACATGTAGCCACATCACAACTGTAGTGCTTTCACACATTCAAAAATTCGGTGAACATCATGGACAAGAAATGGCAAGTGGGGGACAAGGGTGAAAGCAGGAGAAAAAACATTGATTAGGCTAGAAATTTCAGAGTCACAAATTTAAAAAAGGACTAAAGTAAGAATTAACTGTGTTTTTCATTTTGCATGCCATTTATTTTTGTCACCATCAGTTATATGGAACAAAGACTTCATGTTCAAAAGTCTTCAAAAACTTCCTTCTACAACTTCACCCCTAAATAAAAACAGAGTCATTAATCATGAAAACAGGCTTAGCTGTAACTGCTGTTCCTGCAAAGAAACAATTTCCAACGGAGAGTTTTGGTTCATAGAGCATGAGAAAACAGAACTTAACAGTTAAGAAAAAAACACCACCAACTGCATAGACAGCGCTTCCATTCAGATCATGCCTTTAACAACAGCAAAAAAGCACACACCAGGAGGCAGGAAGAGAAGAAATAGACCAACAACATTTTACCTGGGCAATTTTTGCTGTAGAATTAAAACATAAGTTAACATACCTTTTTGGACTGTAACAACACTTCTGTTTCAAGAAGCAAAATTCGATTCAACAAGTTATTCCAGTCCTTCTCATCTATGATCACCTTTCCTTGCAGTTTCTCTTCTAAAACTTGTAATTTCTCTTCCATCCAATCTAGCTTATGAAGCTTTTCCTGGCAATCAGCAAGCTGACTCTTTAAAAATTCAATCTCAGAATTATCTTCCACAACCTGAAAATATGGGTAAGAACACATCCTTTGATTTCAAATCATCATTTGATCAACAAAATTAAGTGCACCCTTCCTCAAGTTCAGTAACCACATCCTGCTATACTAGAAAATTGTATTTCTTCTAGAATTGCCATAATATGCCTATTCATGGAGCTCAGCTTTTAAAAGAAACTGTTGACAGAACTGGCTCTTTGAAAGGACAGAGCAATTTAATTGACTTTTAACCAACTTTCGCAATATACTATTATACAACTATTAGCTATACAAGATAGGTGAATACTCCTTATGTAAAAACCTTTATCCCTTTAGAAAAACCCTGTAAAAAAAAAGTTAAGAACACATGCAGGCAGCATTTTAAAATAAAAATTCTTACTTGTTCACATTTAACTTCCACAACATCATGATCCAGGCACAATTCTTCCTCATTTCCTCCCTGTGCTGGAAGGGGTAGTGGATGAAGGTCACCTCTAACTTCATTTCCTGAATGTCGTTCTACTCGAGGCTTCTTTTGAGTATGTTAAAAAACAAACAAACAAACAAAAAATCCCAACAAACCACTGGTGTTATTCATCACAAGAACATTTTAATTTATCAGCCAAATAAAGACCCAAAAGACCTATCATTTTAGTGTTTATTTAAATCTGACAATCTTATCGCAACTGCTTTCAAAATACAGAAAGCAATGGCAGGCAGTTTAGTCTTAAAAAAGAAAAGACCCATATAGACTTGAAAAAACTGTAAAACAAATACGCACAAGCTTTACCATATATACTGTGTACCTTGTTTACCTGCCACAAACAGTAATTAAGGCATTAATGTCCTCTCAATGTAATGCTCGTTAGATTTCCAAATGTGGATGGGGAGATATGTTACATACACAGTGAGATTCATATGTATAGATAGTTCCAACATCAAATCCACAACCAAAATATTCAGGAAAAGAAAAATGTAACTCAGAACAACAGCATTCTCTCTTTTTTCTTGACATCTGTCACCAAAATGGCCCTACATGCTACACAGCTTCCTTTGAAGGGTTCCCTTAGAGAAAACAAAGAGACAAATCGTGCAATTCTTTCTAGGTGGATCAAGTCCTATGATCCTGCCACAAAACAAAATAAATTACTTAATTATCCTGAATGCACAATTACTGGTTTTGTGTGGCATCATAAAACACACAGATTCCTAGATGTTTTAGTGAAGCTGAAACTCTCCTCTTCTAGGGAATTCTTAATACACTCAGATATATTCCCATTCAGGTCTACCATTCAACAACCAGAAGGAACAGAGAAGCCATTCCAAATACTTTGTGAAGTTTTCTTCACTGATAAAAGCACTGTTTTCCCTTCTGCATAGAAATCGCCAAGATTAATAGGCATTCATAAATCTTAAGGTTTTGTGCAACTATATTTTGCACCCTTTAGCAGAAGATATTAGGAAAGCAGCCTTGTCCACAGGTCAAGAGTAGCATAATGCATAATCAAGTGTTACTTGTGTGAAACTGAAGCCAAGAAGAATACATTAAGATATCTTTGGAGAACAGATTCAGACAAAAGACCTAAAAGGGTTTTGAAAGCTGTGTTGAAAATGTGTGTTAAGACAAGCACACTTCAGTCTCCAAATTGGAAGTATTTTTTTTCCTATTTTATCTTTATATTCATTGTTGTCCCTCCATTTCATATAATTCAGATGACAAACAGCAGCATTTGATCTTCACCACACCAAGACTTTGAGATCAGCTACTCAATACATGAGAGAAGCAACATCCTCTGTATTTCAGCTATTATTTCAGCCACCACACTTTGGGGAAAAACAAACACCAGCCCACCAGAAAACTGGTTTGATTAAGCATTCAAATCTAAATGAAAGCACAATTCCAGCAAGAGCCTGACTTGCTACAAGTGAGATCAACCTTTAGGCATACAATATAAAAATTGGTTTCATACCTGTTTGGAATTCAGAGCACTGCCACTAGGATCCACATGGCCTTTACCACAATTTGACCATACTTCACATTTCAAAGGTCTGAGTTTCTTCCTCACTTGGCATTTAACCTCCAAAGCAAACAGAAGAAAACAACACAGGAAAACTTTCAGGATTACATACCCCACTTTCTACCATCATTAACAGGCAGAAATATTTCATGGCACACACACAGAAATATACTTAGTAATGTGTAGTACCTCTGTAGTGTGCACCTCTATAGTATAATGTATTAAAAAAATAAATTTAAATTACCCAAATTTACAGAAAACACAGAGATGGAAGTGAATGCCTTATTTACACATTCATTAATGCCTATGCAAGGTTGCATTAAAGCTAGTTGTAAATAGAAAAAGACAACTTGTACCAGAGTTGAAAGGCAAACAAAACAAAAAAGTAGATATGCCTCCAAAAGTGACAAATTAAGGATAGAGAAGTCCTGAAGACTGTTACAAACTCAAAGGAAACAAAACCCTGTAAAATAGGAACACTGAAAATTCTTTTTGTTAAACCACAGATAGGCAACATACACTGATAAAAAATTATGCCTTAACAATGAAAAACAAGTATCGTTGATAAAAATAATCAGATTTGAGAAACAAATACAAGTGTCATGTTTAAATTGTTACAGAACTTCAACAGATCAGATGGTTTTGCTTTGCCTTTAAATTTATCTGCAAAGTTTAACAAGTGACATGTTCACTATGTCAAAAAGTGTGAAAACAAAAAAAACCACTTACTGTAAAACACCAAGTATATATCTTCATTCTAGTATTTTTTTGCTTATACTACAAAACATTGGCAGCTTTTTGTCTTGAATGATAGCATTCAATCATCTTACAATGGAACTTAATGTTAATTTTCCACTATTTTGTCCATCAGCAATGTTGCATCTTCAATAGTCATTAGCTTCTACCTGCAGCATCAAGCATGTCAAAAGAAACTTATAATAAAAATTACCATTTCATCAGTACCTTATTAGAGTTATTCAATTCCTTATGTTTGTCCACCACACAGTTGATAATGTCACAAACAATTTGCATTTTTCTTTCTGCAAAGCCAAACTGAAGAAACTGCTCCTTCGTTAAAATTGGTTTATACTGAAATTGATCTCGCAGAAACTGCAACAATATAAGAGTTTACTTCACTTTCAAAATTACCACACACTTTGCTGTAGAAATGGCATGTTCATATTCTTGTTTTTCTACAATCTTTTCTTTCATTCTGCACTTCAGCAGGTAAACACTTTTCATTTGATTATTTTATGTGTATGAATATATATATATAGCTGTTTTTTCTAACTAGGCTTTAAACATACCTCCTCTTCCAGAAACATTTCATTCACATCACTCATGTAAACTTTGACTCAGTCTTAAGATTCACAAAATAAATGACTGTAGAAATTAATGCTTAAAAACTTAACCAAAATCTTTCTGAAGTGAATGGACAATAAAGTTTTATTAATCTCAGTGAATGCATCAGAGGGTTAAGTCAGGCTCTCAGAGATCCTCTCTGTAAAGCAGTCTCTGTCCTCCTCAAATGGAAAACTATTCTGAATAAGCCACTATTTGTAATACATCACGCCACCTTTTATCACAACATGCTTGTGGATATTTTAAGGGTAGTTCAAAGCTATTTTCAATCAGTTAAGAATTTGATTCTAATTTATAAACTGCTAAGTATTCAACTTCTGATATATTAAAATGGCACAATGTTTTAAAATAGCATCATTTCTTAACTGTGCTTTCATTACAGCTTTTGAAGTTGGATGTGATTTTTTTGGTGGTTACAATTTCTTCCAAGGTCATTTCTATAAATCTTATTGTGTAATAAATATTCCATTATTCTTCAAACCTAACAGAAAACAGTAACATTACTGTTTCTGCAACTGTCTCAAAGTTGAGATTTGGCTAACACCCCTACCCTTATTTTCATGAAAATCTAAGCATTAGCCACGCAGTGACTTACTACTCATCTTAAATCCTAACAGAATTACAATTCACCTTCATTGCCAAAAATTTTCACTTTCTAGTAAAACTCAGATGCTTAATTTTTGTGAGGCTATATTCAAAACTGTGTTACTTCTGCAAAGGACATGAAGACAGATTTACCTTATAAACAGCTTCAATAAAACGCAAGTCACTCTTTGCTGTCAGTTCCACACCACACTTTACCAAAAGCTCTGCTATGCAAGTTGAAAAAGATGTAAAACAATAGCTGATGATAGGTAAAAATGCAGCTGGATCACCCTTTACTAACCTATTAAGAAACAGAAGTATTTTACACAGCAGAAGATAACAAAGGCCTTTCATTACATGCATTCAAACATTTAACTTGAAAGGCATTAATATAGCCAGAATGTAAGAACCAGGTATCTCTTTCATTTTAAGGTGGTTTTGTCCATGCACGTCTCTTTCAGCAGTCTTTGCTGTTATCTGTAAAATGCTCAAAAAACCATTTACGTGATCTTCATAGAACTTTAATAGTCAGATCTAAAGCCCAACAGCATTTCCAGCTGAACACCTATTTTTGTAACCTTTATAGGATGAAATTTCCTGGAGGAAGTTTTGCAAGCACTTACGAAGAAATTATAAAGGTGAGAGATTAACCAAAGAAAAGAGAAGAACAGCAGAAGAGCAAGACAGTGAAACACTTCAAGATTATTCTAAGGATTGCTACCAAAGCAAAACTGCATCCTTTTATACTCCAGTTCACATGTCCCCCAGCTTCCCACAGACATATGCTCTGCTTACTCATCACTGGGTGTGATGCTAATATTTATACACATCTTGCTTACACATCTTGCTGTCATCATGTATTAGCATAAATTTATTCGCACTTACAGTGTATAATCAACATCTCTTGGATAATTTAACAAGCGAAGTCCTTGCTCTATTTTTCTTAAACTTCCTTTTAGGTCTCCTGTGGCCATTATTACAACTGCTGTTCTTCTTTCAGATGATGAAATACATGTAGCATAGTACACCACCTCCTTAAAAAATATAATGTACACCAAAATTACAAAATGCAATAGAATTATCACTGAAATACAAAGGTTTTTGTGCCTCTTTCTAAACACTAACATTTCCAATGTGTTACAATACAGCACAGAACTACAGCTTGATACCAATTATCAGCCATCATCTCTATTAATTCTAAATAGAATCATAAGTAATCCTCAATCTGATCAGCTATCAAAGAGCTTTAAAGACATCTGAAAGCATATTATGAGTTTAAGACTGACTAAATCCACTAAAACTGAGTGAAAACAAGTTTCTTCGGTGTTTCAAAGGAGCAAAAATTCCACAAGTAGTGAAAAGCTTTCAGTTTAGAATGATTCTTATTCTATGCTTCCCCTGTCCTAAGCTCACTGGCCAAGAGCTATGTTTGGATGTGTAAAAACCAGGAGACAGGACTAGCAACTGATCACCAACAATACTTCTCTATTTAGATGACCTATTAAATACACTTCCAATTGTTCAGGGGGAGAAGGTAACAGACCACCCAGATTTTAGGCAAAGTAGATTCAAGTTTATTGGGATGATAACCAGTAAGTCCTTGTTTAACTTCTACATTGTAACACTAAGTTGAGAATCCACTTTTAATTTATTGTGGGCTTTGCTTTGTGGAAGAAAAGGACTTAAAGGACTCAGTGCAAACTACAACAAGGTGTATTTTGTCCTGCAGAACTATCCCACAAGGAAACTGAAGACTGAAAAAAAAACCAAAGCAAAACCAGGACAAGAGAATTGGCCTGAGTCCGCTATCATCCAAATCAGTTTTTAGATATATCAAAGGAATAAGTACACGAAGTTCCCACTTTTACTATGTTTTACCAAACAGAACTGATTAGTAAATTGTCAAATGGAAGAGGAGACTGAGGGGAAAAAAGGGGGAGAAATAAAAAGTATCCATAAGACATCTATGGAAGACACTGGAACAGGTTGCCCAGGGAAGCAGTGGCTGCCCCAACCCTGGCAGTGTTCAAAGCCAGGCTGGATGAGCCTTGAGCAACCTGGTCTAGTGGGGAGGTGTCCCTGCCCATAGCATGGAGGGTTTGGACTACATGATCTCTAACGTCCATTCCAACCCCTAAAATTCTATGATTCTATGATCTAAAAATACTGGTAGTTCTCCCGGGCTGACAGATACTGAAATGAAACAAAACAAAACAACAAGTTACCCCCAGGTATCTTAACACAGAAAGCGTTGTCTTTGAAATGCCAATCAAACTAGGTTTTTGATTTCTTTCAATTGCACTCTTCTGTTACAGGGGATAGGGAGCTGTGGGGAAATCACAGCATTATGCAGAGATACAAAAATGCCACCGACAAATACTGGACTCAGCTATCATGCCCGATGCAAGACACACTTCGATCACACAGGCTACTCGCCCAGGAGTGAACTGCACAACAAACTGCGCGTCTTAGGCTGGTTGCTCTGGGCGTCATGCAAACACCAGCGGGAAACAAAAGAGTGTCCCAGCCAGGACACGGCAAGGCAGGGGGCAGTACCGGAGCCAGCGGGCTGGGGAGAGCTCGCCAGAGCGGAACGGGGGCCAACTTT